AACTATTTGTTAAGCAAATTTGTAGAAAATGTCACTTCTGGGAAATAACCATCTGAATACATTGGTCGCTCAAGTCCTAAAAGTCTAACAAACAAAAAAAGAAATCACAAATTTGGTAAATCTGTCCATCCAATTCAGTAAACGCACACCCTGATAAAAGGTACAGAACATTATCTAGTGTGCGATTGCACAAGTGAAGCAGGCAGTCACCCACACACAAGCTGAGAGGTGTGTACAAGCACGTGGAAGAATACAGCTGACGTCCAAACAAATAAAACACGAGCAGAAGCTTCTTTTCCAAGCAGGAGTTACTAATGCGACGCAGCTGCGCAGACATCTCAACACTAACACCTCGAGTCTCAGTTTAGCATTTTGCAGGAGCTATTTCCTTGTTCCATGATTGGCAAACTAGTCATACACATTGTGGGGGTGCAATACAGTAGGTAGGTACACTGCGCAAACAAATCACACGATCGATGTTGGTCATTCCTTCTTGGTTTCTTCCGGCTCCTGTTTCACCTCCTCGTAGGTAGGATCTTCCTCTTTCTCATCCCCATCATCTGTCTTGGAGTTGGGGACCCACAGGCCCGATTCTATGCACTTCTTCATGTGAACCTTCGCCTCCTACATCAAACAACCACAATTATTAACTGACTCAACACCGGTAGACTGAGATGACTGTTAAATAACCGAAAAACATAATTCCCAGCAGACTTTCATCAGAAAGAAATGAGGCTTTAACAAAGGAACTTACCGTTGGGTCCATTTTGCTAATAACCTCTTGTAACATTCCGATGTCTTTATCATCAAAGCATTTCTGCATCTCCTGTAATTGACAACATTTGTCGTGAGGCACTTTAAACCAACCACACAACATGAAGGCAGAGGGGGGGAGAACTTACAGCCGGCAGAGACTCGTACACATCAACGGGGTCGAGCCCCCCGGGTCCCAGGCGCTTTTGTCGCTCCTCTTCCTCGTACTCCTTCATGGCCTTCTCGATGCGGATCTTCGCCCGTCCGCGAACGCGCTCCTTGAACGACTCCAGCTCGTCGTTGAAAGCGTCCTGGTACTGCTGGTCTGCGGTCTGTGGGGGGACGTTCACAGTGAGCATTTCATTGAATACTTTGACAGTAGAAATTAAAATTATTTGTTGCATCCCGACGCACAAATAAACTATCACTAAATGTCAACGGTGAATCATAGTCACAAACCGTTTTAAAGAAACTGACTAACTGGTGAGGGTGTTTTCCCTCGGCGACCACCAGCAGCCTTTTGCTCTACGCCGTGTGGTTATTTTCATATGTCAGCAGGAAACGCCGCCTAATGTTCACTCTGGAAACTAAACCGTTTAGGCCCTTAAAGAGGAACTCCCTGGACTACGTCTCATGTCTCCTTTTCATTACACTCAACTCAAAAAGCAACGATGAATAAAAAGAAGAGCAAGATGCTTCTGCGTTATTTCCTGCGTTATTAAGCCAGAACGCGGCAACCTTGAGCATCGAAACAAATTAACGTCACCTTAATCTTGGCAAAGAATTGCCGAAAGCAGCCGCGGGGGTCCACCTTGAGGCTTTTTGCCAGCTCTAGGATGAACTGCATGACAATGGTCTGATGAGCCACTTGCTCCATCAATGAGTGTTTCTACGGAAAGAAACAAAACAAGTGAATATCTCGTTGTCGGCTCCCACAGAACGGAGGAGTACGCATTCTTTTCTCGTAGTCATTACCTCCTCCACCTCCAGGTCGATGCACATGATGACCAGGTAGTTGGCGGTCTCTTCACATACTAGATCCGAGTTGTCGGAGAGGTACTTCTGGCTGTCGTCCCAGCGTCGCATCATGCCTGTTGATAATCAAAAGTTATTTTCATGGGCTTAGTTGGGGGTTTGCTGTCTTGTCTTGATTTAAGAGTTAGGTAAGGGGGTAAGCAGGATCTGCCAAGCAGGCAGACACGAGTCTGACAGGATGGGGAGTCAGTTTATGTCCTGGCTGAGGAATGCAAGGTCTGCGGGTCAACTAGAAGATTTACCAGCCAAAGGGGGGTTAGAGACACACCAACACTATTCAACATACACACTCTGTTTACGATGTTTACGTTAAGTCAGGAGTCTGGACATTGGATGTGACCGGATCTTAGATGCGGGAGGTGGAAGGTCCTCCTCTACGCCAGTTTAGGGCCAATAGAAATCTTTCCTTCTCTGTCTTTCAAGGGTTATAAAACATGATGTTCTTGCTGATGTTAGTTAGTTGTTCTTCCGGCCTGTGTGCTGCCTGAACTGCTCCTGCCTTTGCAAACGCAGCGCTGATACTTGACCTGTGATCTGACAAATACATTTTCCAGAACGAGAGAAGTCATTCGGCTGAATTTGTGATAACCCCGACCAGGCTCCAAATCTTGAACACGTATTCTTACACTGTAGTGAAGACAGCAGTGAAGGACCGTCTCTACTTTCCCACCGTTCCGATACCGGGCAACACGCACGGATCCTTACCAAAGTGTTTGATCTGCTTCTCGTATTTCTCCACAAAGGTTTTGTGCTTTTTCTCCTTTTCTTCTTCGGTCTCTTCAGCAGAGTCCGGTTTGACGTTGACGACACTCTGTGGAGGATGAAAAGGAAGCAAGTGGTAGAGAATCATGGTTACAAGCTGGAAGTTAGAGGTTTATAGATCAGCTGGAACTCATGAGATTTTGTTCCAGTCAAAGGTTTGGACACACCGTCTCATTCCATTGAACGACCGGTATATTGACTGGTACTGTATGTACGCTATGAATGAACGTCGACAGAAGCTCATTTCATGGCAGCGGATCAGACTGCTGCTAACCTCTTGTTTTTGAGTTAACTCTAGAGTGGAAGTCGCCAACAGCGACCCCGATCAAATGCATCACTGACTACAACCACGGGTGTTTCCCCCCCCGAGGCCGTTCGCTCTTCACGTCATGACTTCGATGTGCACTCAGCAGCCGCCTGAGGCATAACGCTGGAGAGAGACGAGATGGAGGGAGGCACACGATCATGTAAGGGAAGGTAAGAACGTGTTTTGTTCTCCGAGTTGATGCTAGAATACCCTAGTTTATCAAATGTTTTTCCAATATTCTGTCATGTATTTTGAGACCCTTAAAGAGCACTGGTGAAACAACCAGGACGAACGCACAGCTGGTTTCTTCTCCTTAGTGAATCAGCTGATACTAAAAATGTTAAATAGTGCCAGTGTTATTTTTACACAGTGACCTGCCCATAAATATATTCTAAACCTTATTGTTTTGTTAAACTAGGGGTTGGTAAATAACTTACTTGACGTATGATTAGAACTCAAACTTTGAGTGGTGTTTTTTTTTTTACTTTCCAGGCCTCCTCTTATCAAGCTCACCTTGCTGAAGCCCTCCTTGCTGAGCGTGTCGACGTTCCACGGCATCTTCTTCTCCTCCCGGTGGAGTTCCGCCATTTTCTTCTCCCAATCCCGCTCCTCTTTTTTCAGCTTCTTCTCCTCGGCCTGGGCTTTGCTACGCTCTGCTTTGGCGTCGTCGGTGGATGAAAGAGACAGCTCCTGCACTTTCTTCTGGGCCTCGGCCAGTTTACGCCGGCATTCGCCGAGGGCCTTGTTCATCTCTTCGCTTTTCTTCTCAAAGTCTTCCATTCGCTCGACGCGCGCCTGAGGTACGAATATAAAGAGTGTCCCACATCAGTCACAACAACAGGGGTTCAAGAGCGAGATGGCGGAGGATCTCCGCCGTAACAAAAGATGATTTTTTATTTGTGATATCGAGAAGGGTAAACATCTCTAACTTATACATTTTATTAGAGGATAAACCACTTGAGATGCACCGGCTGGATTTCGTGGGATCTCAGTTACAACATATGGAGGTAAGGATTTTAATCAAACTCTTTTATGAAATGGAGTAACTTTAGCGCATTTCCAAATTGATGGAAGTTTAGAGCTAAGTTAGAGACAAATGACAAAGGTCAGCGGGGGTGAATGATGAGGTGCTTTTAAGAAGAACATAAGCCTCAAATCCGGAAATCAGGAGCACAACAAGCTTTTAAGGATGAAAACACACGCATTGTAATACTTATCACGTCTAGCTTTGTATTTTACGGAAATGTCTGCATGCCTCCTAATAAGCCGGAGGCTTAGTTGTTCCATATTTTATCCAAGTCCCATCCTTCAGTTTAAAAAGACTGAGCAGAGCAGAACTAAATCCACAGTCAATGTTTTTTTCCCTTCAATGCTTATATCAACAACTTTATTACATCTACACAAAAGAACATTCCACGCGTTTCCGAGAAAAGGTGTCAGCTGAAACGTATCCGTGTCTATTTCAGTGCTAGCTTCAGACTAGCATTCTAAAGGCTGGAGAGTCGTTGCCCTCTCCAGTGTAATGCACCCATCACTGGCACCCAGCAGCACGGGGAACAACGTTACAGCACAAACGCATCCTGTCGTGTACCTGGTGTCTCCACCTGAAGAGGCTCGGCGTGTCGATGTTGGGGTGGGTGTCATCTTCATCGTCCGACACCTCAATGTGGTCCCACACGCTGTAGTCTATTCTAGACATGACGCCAGTGAGGACCGAGCAGCGTTAGCTTCGGAGATGGCTCGGCTAGCGGGGAAGTTACTGGGCCGAACGAAGAAAACCCGAACCTCCGATCGAAAGACGCGGATAAAGCAAAAACTCAGCACCTCTCATGCGTGTGTGTTAGTATTCAGCGCAGCGGCGGGCTGTGTTAAGCCAACATGAACTTAGAAGGAGAAACCTGGGGCGGGCTAGCGAGAAACGGCTAGAGATTTCCAGAAAGAATCGCTCCTGCAGATTTCCGTTTGACGTCAGTGCGTCATTGCGTCACAAAGGACGCACGAGGCCGGAAGACAGGAAAGACGCTCAGTAAATGTTGTGTGGGTGTGTGAGACGTGTAGGCAGTTAAAAAACATGCAGTTATGTTAAATACTAATAAAGGCAGCGGTACGTATTTATCGTTTATCAATCATGTTAAAGAAATAGTCAATTTTAACTCTTTCCTCAAGTTTATTGATTTCTTTTAGAAAATGTAGCGGTTGAAAATAATTATTTGTGATACCAAATTTACAAATAAATAATTAAACGGTCCAAGCGATCAGTAGCTTATTCCTAGACTAATACATAATGTGCCCAGACCTACTAATATGCCTTTTATGCAATAACATGTTACACTGACAGTCAATAAAACATCGATATAGTTCCTTTTCTTCCACTTCCATCAAAAGCTGTGGGCTGAAGGGAGCTTTGCGCTGCTTTTGCTCTCGTTGGGTTTGGAGTCCTTGAACCCCGAGCAACAGATGGAGTTTCCGGCCTGAGTGTCGCAGCACCGCCGCATCTCCCTGATGACGTCCTCACACATGCTCTCCTGGTATCTGTTAGCTGCAGGACGAGGACGACACGGGAGGGGCGGGGTTAGCGTAACACCAAAGGGGACGGGGGGGATTTGCTCCCGCAGCACATCGGCTTTATTTAACGGTTTTGTCTACCTTGTAAACACTGTTGAATTGCACATGCTTGCCTTTGACACGGATCTTTCTGTGGCATACCTGAAAGGGAACAGAGAGGGACAACATTCACACGTTAGTCAAGAAACACCTGGCTCCGTGTCTCTACGGACTCACTCCCACCTGTATCGATCAGGATAGGCCGGGAGCTCTTAGAGTAAAGGTCGCTGCTGCAGTTAGCCTGTGAGCTAACGCTACTTCCGGTGTTTTCGTCACGTGACTCTTGTCAAATCGAGTCATTTCGTAAAGAGTGCAGCAGCGACACCTGGTGGCGCAGTGTGAGTGCAACACAAACTGAATAAATGGCAGAAATTACTAAAGAGTAACGTTGAATATGACTTGGATTGTCATTGGGTATCTGTTATAAAAATTCTCACATGGTCTTCTTTTCCAGCCCCCACACATATACTGGGATAAGACCGGCATGTTCTTTATACATCTAATCCTTATGAGACACGGAGTGGCCTTCTGGACACCAGACATATTCTCTCAGCTGACATGTCATACACCCAACTTATTGTACAAACGATACAGACACTTGATTTTTCTAAACACCCCCTCTTGACATGACATTATTGCAGTTTTTCCAACAGTATCCACACCCCCTGATTGAAACGTTACCAGAATGATACTGGAAATAGAGGGATATTTTACTTGTATGGCACACTTTAAAATGCAAACAAAGATGCTTCACATGTTGTCGTGTCCTTTTATTTGTAGGATATGTTTAGCCCTCGAATCTAGCAGCGACATTCAACTATTACAGTATGATCTAGTTATTATAGACCTAAAGTAAATACGTGTAAAGGATATTTTTTTCATTTTACTTTTATTAATAAAGATAAGAAAATGAAGAAACAATTCATATTTACAGTAATAACCTGCTGAACTTTAACAATCGGTAATACATTTCAAGCAAACATTAAGATAATAGATAATATAGTCATCATTGTAGTGTAGCTAGATTAATGTTACAGTATAATTTCGTTAATGTGAAAATAATTCTAGAAAAATAAACTAAGATAAGATAATCCTTTATTACTAGTCCTGTAGCGGGGACATTTACAGGGACAGGATATCACAAGGGAAGCATAAAAAGAGAACTACACCACCAATCCATCTCATAGAATGTTGAAGTACTGACAAACTACAGTTACCAAACATAGTATGTTCAAATATGTATATATAGATATATATTGTTTAAATTGGATTGAATTATCTCTCATAAGAACCTCATAAATATCTGTTGAGCCGTGAATGCATTGTCATTTCCGTCTCCAAAGCGCCAGCAGTAAAATCCACTTAGTTCGCATCTCCTCTTATGTCCAATGTGGTCGTCTGATCCGATCTCAAGATGTCTGGTTTCAAACACCTGTGTAAAAGCAAAAGATTAGGACGCGCTGTAAAGAAACCACGCGTGCCCTTCAGGGTCCCCTTCTTTACCTTTGGTCTTGGCTTTGACGATGAACTGCTTGCTCTTCTTCTCCAGCGTGTTGGAGGCGGTGCAGGTGTAGGTCCCGGGGAGCAGCGAGGAGGAGCTGAGCGCCGCTTCCTCCTCCATCCTCTCCCCGAGGGGATTGGAGGACTGCCAGCTGTACACCGGTGTGGGGTTTCCGCTGGCAGTGCAGTTCAAGGTCAGCTCAGCACCAACTACAAAGTCCACAACCTCGGGTTGGGGGCTGAGGAACGTCGGGGGAACTACGGCAAACGTCACAGCGATTAGACGCAGCCAAATGAATACGCTTAACATATGAGAGCTCATTTTTTTGTTTGTTGTCGGATTAGCTTCATGACTTACAGTAGACGGACGCATTGAGAGGCTCCGAGGACACGGACGGAGGTGGTCGGGGTCCCTCCGGTCCGAGCTCCAGCTCCGCTACGCACCTGTACTGGGCTCCGTTCTCGTCTTTGGTCGGCGTGACCATGAGGACGGAGGACACTTGGACAGGCGAGGAAGACGTGAGATCGGCGAAGGAGTGGTTGTAAACCTCGGTCTGGCCCTTGTACCACCTGAGGGTGAGGTACTGGACCGGAGCAATGTTCTGAACCTCACAGAGCAGCTGGTACTCTTTGCCCTCCAGCATGGGCCCGTTGTGGTTCACAGGCCGGATGGAGACGCTGTCTGGGGTCTCTGAATGAATAACACGCACGGTTCACGTCAAGCGAGTTTAATGCGAGTCGTCCATTTCTATCAAAACTAAGTGTGAACTCATACGGACATCCGGCCCGATACTGACTCAGGTAGCTGGATTTTTTTAATTCAGTTCTTGGGTTTTATAATGTAGACACAGTTCCACAGGCAGGAACTCATTGGATTTGTTTTGAGGGACACGGATTATACAATCCTCTGGACTCCATTGTTTGGTTCAATATTACAAACGTTAGGTTTACATATCAAAAACATTTCATTACAATTGGGAGAATTGTCACAGAGGTGAGATTTAGGCAACAAAACCACACAAACTCGGTGTGGTTTTACGGACCGTTCCACATAAATGAATGAATAACTTCTTCATTGGCTCTGGCTGCTGCAGTGTAGCTGATGTGTTTACTGACCTACTTCCTAAGGACAAATAACAGCCCTGTTGTTTCAGGACAAAACGAGTTAACTCACTGTAGAGGACCAGGTTGAGCTTCTCCTCACACTGCCGGGGAGCCGTGAAAAACACCCCGTAACAGATGGGCTCCTCGATCCAGTCGATGAGGCTGTCCACCTTCCACTGGACCGACAGGTCCCGCTGAGTGGAGACGCCGCCGATGGCCGACTCCCAGCCGAGGACCCGAACCGGGCGAGCGGCTTCGCAGCTGACCGACACCGGCTCCCCGAAGCCCACCACGACCCGGGGGGGCTTGAGGATGAGGGAGCAGCCTTCACCTGACACTGAAACACACGGCAGGAGTCATCGCCGTCGTCCGCGGCATCATCGCCTTGCTTTCACTTGTGGATTTTGCACAATAAAATAAATAAATAAAAGCACAGCTGTTATGCAACCACGTCACAACACACACACACACAAATCGTATGTGGGAATTGGCAAAAATATACTTTATATAACAACCAATTACACCCGAGTATATTGATGGCAACGTGTGTGGTCCTAGACCTAACTCCTAATTATATTTGCAGTCGTTTAGAGGGAAAATAATCGAATAAATGAGTAAAGCTCTAACTAATTATTGATGGTCTGATGGTTGTTCTCGTTTTCCTTTATTATCACCAACTAAAGGTCTGTTTGCAAGCTACACCACCTTTTTCACAAGCAGCTCTCCTATGAAATAAATAAAAGTCTTACCCGAGCAAAACATGCAAAGCGCCAGGATCCATTTGATAAAGTCCTTTCCCATCTTATTTTCTGCACTGAGCCGATGGAGAGAGAGAGAGGGAGAGGGAGAGGGAGAATTCCAACTCCAACAAGCTTGGCAACTCTGCAGGGAACTATGGTGGAACAAAAGGGCCCCCTTCATCTCTCAGCTGACGTGGGGGGGGTTGGGGGAGTAGGAGGGGGCAGGGGTAAAAGGGAGAGGGGGAAATGTAACAGGTGGCAGGCCTCTGAAAAACACAGCTGATCCTTTGCTCTGCTCTTGTCAGTGTTTTAGCAGGAAATCCGGATGTACGACAAATCCATTTGCAGTTATGCGAGCGCTGATTTGGTTGTGTTACGTGCACACGTAAAGGGGGATCTGTTATAACTCGCCTGTTTTTCGGTCCTGCTCGGCTGCTCCTGAACTCTCTGTGAAGCAGGCGGCAGTGTTGGTGCAGCGTGTCGCTTGTAGGTCTCCCGCTGTGAGCAGAATGCTACACAGCGTAGCCGCTCTGACCGCGACTGCAGAGCAAGTAATCCAACGCTCCATTTCCTATAAAGCTGGGCAATCTCAATGCACAGATTCACGTTGCATTCAACAAAACGCATGTTAAGCTCTATCGTAAAAGGTTGTTTTTTTAAACTCCACTACATATGGTGCAACATCCATTCTGCCAGGTTGTCATGGCAACGCGGTGTGAGCATACACAAACAGGGCTGTCTGGCAACAGCTTTAGTAACTGAACATAAAGAACATGAGTTCAGGAGAAGAAAAAAAGAAGGTTTGCACTGTCAAATGAAGGCAGGATAACAAATGCACTCCTTTACATTCACTTTGTGCGACACTAATTAGTATGGCAGCCTGAGTGAGGGAGAGAGGGAGAGAGAGACATTGAGAGGGAGAGACAGGAAGAGAGAGAGAGAGAGAGAGAGAGAGAGAGAGAGAGAGAGAGAGAGAGAGAGATTGACAAAAGGGGGCGGTGAGACATCAATGAAAGACGATCAGTATTCTTCAGGACGACCACTGACAGAGAAGTCGAGTTAATTTAACGGGAAGTTGCAGAAAAGACTAAAACTCTCACTATGTATTTCCGTTAAAAACATTAACTTCCTCAATTAATGGGGGGCGCTTGAGGTGAGAAAAACATCTTGAGCACCATGAAACTTGGTAATTTATATTAACATAATTTATTTTTGTCTCATTTTGTTGATAAGAGGCAAATAGTTTAGCTTGGGGTGCAAATTATTCGCTGTGTTTTTGAAATAAAAATGCTGTGGTTATTGTGAATTATGCATTGTGAAAGGATTATATTCATTACAAAACAAAAAAAAACAATAAATCACCATGAAAGTTCACTAGTTTATTACTGATATGAAGACCATTATCTCATAGTTCATCCTAATGAGGCACAATCTAAAAGGTAGCTTTCGGTACATTGCGGTGCATGTTTAATGCAACTGTTATGATTCATGCACATCACAGAATTTACCTGAACAGTACTTTTAGTGCAAAATGTTTTTACATTTCAGAGTTGTACCGTATATTAACGTTTTTTTTTTTTTACATTTCAATACAATAACAAATAATAACATGCACTCCGTCGTCGTTTACTCCCAAGTAGTTACTGTAGTGTAGTTGCTGTAGTACGTCGTCAAAAAACAAAATCAAAATGTTCCCGAGTGAAAAAACAAACAAGAGTCATCTTGAAACGTGGTCTTTTGTGACTCTACAGATCTGAACAAAATGATAAGTGGCACGGTCATAATTCCACCAGGAAGGCACCGCTGTCCATCAGTAATCAGAGTGACAGTTTTTTGGGCTGACCAAAGGTAAACACAACAAGACCTGACAATCCCACTGTGCCTGATCTATTAAAGCGTAACATTCAAGGTGCATTATTTTTTCAGCTCTGTTTAACTCTTAATACCAACTCCATAGAAAATCATTGGCTTGGGTGGCGTCCCCATCCCGTACGTTAGATCCCGTCCCTTTGAATCGGTTTGAAATGAGTGTAAGCGGATTAAAGTCGCCAGGTCACCACAGTGTGTCAGAAATGTTTCCTGATTTCATTTCAGTATTGATTAGTTAAGCCGATGGGGTTAAGCAACAGCGACCACACATGAGCACACGCCGGCTCAGCCTGCAAATACTTTTAAAAAACCTGATTTTGGTATGTTTATAAAAGCACCAAAATAAGTCAAGCCATGCTAAATTGAATTGGAAAAAAAAAAGAGTCCCTCCTCATATGGGCGCCGATGAGGCGGGCCGTCCTTTGAGAGAAAAATAGCCATTGGGCGTCAACGTCAAAAGGCCGCCAATGGAGATCACCACCGCCAGGAAGACAAATACTCCAAACAAGGCTCCAAAGGTTGTGCGATTCCCTGTGGGAGACGGGCAGAGTTTTGATTACTTTCTCTCCTTGTCTCAGCTCGCTGGTCCAGACCCCGAAACATCAGAGCTTTTCTGTTTGTGATAGACCCCATATGCCAGAATGACGATTAAAACTAAGAACACAGCCATCAAAATCCCGGCAGTGGTTCCGGGGGCACTACCTGATGAAAAACGGTAGAATTAAGGTGTTACAGAATAATCAACATGACACGAGAAAACGAGACGAGGACGACGCTCATAACGATCTCTTACCTGCTGCTCGGGTGACAGTGAAATATTTGGTTGCGGAGCCCCGGGTGTTGGACGCTGTGCACTTGTAGGTGCCTGGATGAGGGAAGGACGGAGCCCAATCGGATTGATTCCCCTTCGGAGCGGTCAGCTGTATGGCGTGGGCGACCTGCCAGCTGTACTTCGGCGTTGGGTTTCCCGTGGCCGCACAATCCAAACTGAAATTACCGCCGGCCGGGAACTCCAGCGTCTTATTTTCGGGCTGCGCGAAGGTCGGTGGGTCTGAGGAAATGAGAAGATGGAAATAAAAAATGAATGAATAATCGGCGAAAAGTGCAAACACATCCGATACCCCCCACCAACTCAAGATGCCGTTGAACACCTACACTGCACGATCACAGCACGGGACTCCGACTTGATCGCGGGGAGACTTGGAACCGTGTCCAAGTCCAGCTGTGCTTCACACCTGATCCGAGTCTGGTCATCCTCCCTCTGGGCTGTCAGATTGAAGACGGACGTCGCGTTGACTGGAGGCTTACTGGACCCGTGGAACCTCTCCGTGCGGAGGATCTTCTCTCCTTTGTACCAGTGCACAGAGAGGTTTTGTACCGGGGCGACGTTCACCACGTCACACTTCAGGCTGTACGTTTCCCCCTCCACCAGGGGGGCTGTTAGACTCGGCTGAGAGATGGACACCCTGTCCGGTGCTTCTGCACACAAAGAGAAAAAAATGTTCAACATCGGAGGAATTGACGGATCAAAATCTACCCGGCCTTGGATATACTTACTGTAAACTGTGACTGGAAAATTTTCTGAACACTGATCAACTTTGACGCGATTAAGGAAGCAGATCACCAACACTTCCCAGTGTTCCACAGAGGTTATATCCAAGACAACGGAAGAGACACCCTCCGTCTTTTCGCCGCCGTACCTTGACTCCAAGCCAATCGACTCTATCTGGTCTGATGTTGAGCTGCAGATGATCCTTAAGGGGTCTCCAAATCTCACCACAACGGTGGGGGGGCTGATCTGGACGGGACAGGAAGAGCTCACCGGCCGTCCTGGAAGTACACAAAGGGCTTTACAGAGATGTATCATCGGCCAACAGGGTGGGATTCTGACCAAGCAACGGCTCATGGGACACTTGGAGTAATTAATTAGAGAAAATATAAGAAGGCTGAATGCATGCGGTTGTGTGCATATTCAACGTTATAACAAAGACACGTGTTTTCTTGTTGACCACCTCTTGGGTGCTTCGTCTTACTTGCACAACGATGCGATTTCTGATAATAACATCGCATCATCTACGACAACATGGGTACATTTTGATCCCCACAGGTGATTAAAAAAAGAAACCCCGATGCGCGTCAGTTTAAGAACCACACGAGTCCAAAATAAGGGCGTCGGCCGTCCGGAGGTCCGTTTACACATCGACGGGAACCTTTCAACAAAAAGCACAGCGAACACGACGTGAAAACAGTACCCACCTGCGCACGCGAGCACGCCGCCGAATACGAGGAGCCACCTCATGGTTCGGACGGTGTGGCAACAAGAAGACCCGTCTGCTGCTTTAGGAGGAATGAGCGAAGGGTCCGGGGGAGTCGCGTCCCGCTCCGCGTCTCTCCGGGAACTTTCTCTTTTACTTGGAGGCTCCCGTGTAGTGATGCGTTCACGTGCTCCTGTGGATTGTTTTTTTTTCGGCGGTGATGGAGGTACAATGCGGTCTGCTTAGCTTCGTATTCACGCTGGTTAAGACAGAAGGCTCGTTTTGCTGACGGGACATTCCCAGTTCCGACCCCAACAAAGTAGCATCCAACAACTCAACTTTTGACTCCCTTCATCGCAAGTAGAAAGACGGTGTGAGTCTCTGTAGTTGCCGTATGTTCCACGGCACCTTAAGGCAGCATAACTACGGTTCTGTTCGCGTATAGTTTTAAGTTACCACCAGAACACAAGAAGTACGATATACTCCTCGTTATTTGATGTGTTGCACCACATCGAAAAACAGGCCATTCGTTGTACGACAATAGTAGCACATTTTAGATAAGATATTTGATTCTTATCTAACATTTATGCACATCAGAAATATTCATGCCTAATTAAAAAAAAAACAGCAATCGGTTGGAAACGCGATTTTTAATATTACAATACAGACAAACATCAGTCTCAAATATTTACAGCCGTATTCACAAACGTGTAACAAACGTGTAACCGAGTCGAATGTCCCGAGCATGAATGAGCAACAGTGTCCACACAGTGAGCAGAGCTGCTCTCCCTTTTCACAGATTCCACCGCGCACCTTCGGTCACACTGCCTGTTGAAAACAGTAGTGTCGCTTCAGGGTCACCGTGATTGACGGTCATGATCGACTCATGCTTGATGGGTAAAAATAATGACATACAGTGAAATGAAGGGAGCATATAAAAAAAAAAAAGAAGTAAAGTGAATGTAAGAATAAACAACCAGGTGCTGCGGGGATGACGGGTTCGCGTAGGCCAACAGGAGCTTAACATCACGCGTTCGGCCTCTAACCAGAAAACCCTTAACTTTGAGATGAGAGAGCCGCAGGAGCCGAGATGCTGGCTCATTTTCAGACTAAATCCAGCAGCTCAATTGTCTTTGTGCTCATTACTGTAAATGACATCAAAACAATTCAACGGCCAAGTTTAAGTCCCAGCTCTTCCTCTTCTTCTTCTTCTTTCCGTCCAGTGAAAACAGGTCAAATCCAGTAGTAAATATAAAACCTCACATCTCGCGCAAAGGTTGCTAATTCTCATAACCAGGTTATTCCATTTAGAGTGAAATACTTTTATGTGGGACGGTAGATGCGAGGATGTCAGAGCGGTGGTCCGGCTTCGTGGTGGCAGAGAGATGCGGCTCATTCAGAGTGCTTCTCCGGGACGTCCTGTGCTAAGACAGTTTGGTCATAGGAAACTGCATGTCCCAGCCGTTGTGGGCTACGTTGCTACTGGGGGTGTCGAGCTTGGGGTTTTTAAGACTGTAACGGCGCATCTTGGTGTTCTTGTAGTAGATCGAGTAGATGAAGAGGAAGACGATGGAGATGGCGACTACTGTGACCGCCACGAATCCAGCTATGAGGGGAAGGTAGTCCTCTGCCAAGAAATCAACACACGAACGTCAAAACAAACCCATACGAGAACTGCTTCAATCAAATAAAATGTTCTACTGCAGATGCGCTTTTCTTTTTGGATGCGGAAAGACAAATATAACTTTTTAAAAATCATATGACTTACAGACAACGTGATCTGTGTTGGTAACCAGAATAGAATTCACATGTTGTGTGCGGAAATATATTCTGGTTCCTCAAGACTTCCTGTCTTTTTTATTCTTCATACAACGTGGAGACATGATTTGCACAGAGCACAATTCTATCTATACTCTGCAGATGCAAAATGACGTAAAAGGTACAGAGAAGGGTTTGTATAAAGGCAAGCGGTGGCGAGCAGAGGATTTATTTACCAGCAATACATCTGTTTTCACAGATAAGACGTGGATGTTATCTTCTAAAGAGCACTTTTGGATCGAGTGTTACCTTTTAAAATCACTTGGACCACATAGTAGGTGGAATCCACCTCATTGGTGGCGGTGCAGTTGTAAACGCCGGCCTCGGACACGGTGAGCGTGTCTTCGGACTCGTTGAGAACTTGTTGAGAGCTGTAAGTCCAGTGGATCTTTGGAGGCGGGAGGCCATCGGCTTCACACACCAGCTCCTCGGGATAACCTCTGAACACGGGGATCGCCTTTGGAAGCTTCGTGGTGTTAATGGCGGGCTTATCTGTGGATGAACGATAAAGCAGCGTGAATACTACACACCTTACAGCGCTGTGTACACGATAGCTACCGAGCAGCTAATGGAGGTGCGATCTCACAGTAGACGGTGATGTTGAGAGGACCGGACGTCGCGCTCGGAGCGGGCTGCGGCCCCTCGGGACCGAGATCCAACTGAGCCTCGCATCTGAACTCCGCCCCGCTGTCCGTTCTGTTCAGAGTGACGGTGATGGAGGACGACACGTTTTGGGGATGTGCGACAGCGCTCGGGTCACAGTTGTTGGGCTGGCAGTCAGTCACTCGCAGGGGGCCTGTGTGTGTTTGCGTTTGTGTGTGTGTGTGTGTGTGTGTGTGGGGGGGGAGGTAAAATACAGTGGCAAATCAGACGTTTGTAATTTTCCGTCGGTAGATTTCTTAGAAATCAACCGAAACTTTCGTTCAGGAAATGCCTCATTTGCATATTTAAACTCGCCATTTCAGAAACCGTGTGATACAAAATATACTGAAGAATCAACTAGGGAAATGACGTGGTGCCACATGTGAGGCATGATTAGGATACCGATTCATATCCAACTTAATATCCTCCACGATCCGCCGCATAATGATTTCAAGTCGGTTGAGTAGCGGCGTCACTGGAGCTCACAGAACGATACCTCACCTCTGCTGGATGGCTCGAAGGTTTCGTTTCCTCTGTACCAACGCACAGTCACGCTTCCCGCGGGGGCCACGTTGGAGACGTCACACCACATCTGGAAGCTTCTCCCCTCCACCGTCGAGAGCGAGTTGTCCTCAGCCCGGATGGAGACGCTGTCTGGTGTTTCTGGAGAGATGGGTGGGGAGTGGGGCAAATGATCAGGATAGTTCCTAATTCAGAAAAGCAACGCGATGACAGTGCGAGTGCAAAGGTCAGAAGCGCGTACTGTAGATGGTGAGGTTTAACTCTTTCCAGCATTCTCTTATCCGGTGAAACGTGGCGATGCATTTAGGCTCGGGGTTCCAGCCCCCATCAGGGGCAGCAGACCAGTGTGTGCCCTTAGTTTTGCCAGCGTGCTTGTCCTCCCAGTATTGGCTTTTGAGATGCATGGAGCCTTCGGATGTTGGGGTGCAATTCGCACGGTGCGAATCTCTGCTTTGGTGTTGCACCACCATCCTCTCCGGAGTTATCTGGATGGGGCATTCCATACCACCGGCACCTGTGGAACAGGGTTGGGGTACGGGAAATGTTATTCTCCAGTCAAAGTCTGTACGCAGACATTATCTTAACGCAACATCTTCCTCATCCAGTGGGCGCTGCTTGAAACATGTGGAACAAACAATGAATCTCAGGAAGCACCAGGAGAAGGACGGATGCCCCCCCACCCCTCCTCCCTCCCTTTGGAAAGTCTGCACTCGCTGCCCAACATATGCGAGGAATTCCAATATCAATATTTAATTTGAATGCGTCACATCCCACAGAGCCCCTTCGCATCGGAACAGCAGCTCTTAACTTTGAAAGGTACTATTTCAACAGACAACTTTCAAGGACGCGAGGAGGCTCGAAACACGTGATCAGACGAAACGCTTAATAACAAATATCGCGTTCCGCTGGCATTCACACCTGCGTGTCCATTTAAAAAAAAAAAAAAACACCGCGCTGCACAAATAGACCGTTGTTCCTCACGGGTGTGTAAAATAAAACACCCGGCCTCTCCGCCTCAACTCACCCGCCGCGTCCCCGCCACACAGCGCCAGCAGCCGCGCGGCCACAAGGGCCGTCAGCAGACGGAGGCGGTTCGAGTCCTCCATCGGAGTAACGGGAAAAGTTTGTCCCAAACAACCGACGCCGACCTTCTCGCGTCCCACCGAGCGCCTGTGAGGCTCTCGCTCCTCGCTCGCTCCTTTCCTCCCTCCCTCCCTTCGTTCCTTCCTTCCTTCCTTCCTCCCTCCCTTCTCCACTCCTCGGCTACACGGGGCGGGCCCCGGCGGCGACTTGTTTTTTGTTGGGAGAAAGTTAAGCTAAGCTGGGCTAAGCTAGGCTAGGCTAGGCTAGGCTAGGCTACGACGACCCCCGCCCCCAACAGACATCCACCGTGCCTATAAACGTCGCTATCGTTGTGCCAGTTGGCAGGAGCAAATTTACCACAAGTTAAGTCAAGCTCGGTCAGTTGCCATGACAACTCATCTGACAGGCAACTACACTGATGTTAACTAAACAGGTCACATGAATTACCCCCTTTAAAAGAAGTCCTTACTAAGACACTCACAGCAATGAAGGTTACTCTGCTCTTAAGCCTCCAACAGCAAAGCCCAAAACTCTCTTTTGAGACTTGTTGATGTTGTTATTATTTTTTTATTACCCGTTAAATTCAAAAGTAACAACAGACAGACAGAGGGTGGTTTTGGGTGGAATGTACCCATGATATTATTGCAGGACCTATAATATAATACTTTTCATTATAAAAGCAGTATGCGTGAGTATTAGAATTTAGGTCATTTTAAAATAAATGTAAAGAGCAAACAACGAGCTCGTTCAATGATCACATTACATTGACCCACCTTTCACTGTGACGTTGGCTGTTTTAGAGACCCTTCCTCGATCATTCGTGGCGTGACACGTGTAGGAGCCCTCGTTGTAGGCGTTGGCATCGCGGATGTGCAGACGGGCCACTCCGTCGTCATTTTTCACCATCACATTGGGGGCCTGGTAAAAATCCCATGAATACTGTGGTTGTGGGTTCCCCGTCGAGGAGCAGATCAGCCACACGTCAGATCCAACGTCAACCTCCGAGTCCTCCAGCTCAACTATCTGCGTTGGCTCGTCTGGAGACAAGGGTCACAACACCGTCAGAGGAAAAAGCAGATGACTAGTGCAAACACAAGCAGAGAGCAAAGGTTAAAAGTACCCACACAGGACATTGATCTCCATCGTGACGCTGACATTCGACAGTTTACTCAAAGCCGTGATCGAGTACTGCCCGGAGTCGTGTCTTGTTAGGACCTCTGGAAGTACCACGTCCTTGCCATCTTTGCGCCAGACGATGTCGGGCTGCGGATAGCCCGTCAGATTGCAGGACAGGATGTGAGGAGCATTTTCCACTGCTGTGTAAGTGTGTGGACACTTAAACTCTGGTCCATCTGAGAACAAAAAACAAAACAAAAAACAACCCTCTAAATAGTGTTTTTCTTTACACTTTGGTGTATTTGTGCAGAATGTCCTCATGGTCTGGTTTGTGCTGACACGCACACAACACGTGAACCGTCAGTTCCCTCCGGACGAAGGAAGCACTCTCTGCCGAGACGGTGTACCGTCCTGCGTCCGTCCTGCTCATAGGTGCTGCCGGGTCGACGGTCTGACCGTCTTTCAGCCAGTTGACGTCGGGCTCAGGTCGTCCCGTCATGGGGCATCGCCCCCCCAGCGTGTCTCCCTCCTGTAATTCCAGTTTGTCCAAAGACAGGCATTCCCCCTCTGGTCCAACTAAACAGAAGCAAACACACCAGCAATTTATGCAAAAACCGCACTTTTAGTAGATGAAAAAACAGCTGTGATGTAGATGAGGTGTTTTGTCGTCTTGAGACTGGGAATGAATGAATAATATATGATGTACTAGAAAAAGGAATCGGAAACTGTCGCCTGTTTGCCGTTACGTCACATGATTGTCAACATAGTTCGGAATAGATTTTCTGTTCATTTCAATGTTATTCATTCTATTTAATCTTATTTCTTATTCTTATGTGAATTCAGAATAATAATCATTCAAGCATTGCAGCTCTGTAAAAAACCTGTAAATTCAAACCCCAACATAACTGACGTAAAATTGCTGCATTTTAAATCCCTTTGGCCACATTGCAGGCTGGTGAGTACACACACGATATACTTACAGTGAACCGTAACTTTCAACTCTTGTGAAGATGCATTGAGTTGAGGTCCATTTGGCCTCAGGTCCAGATGTGCCTCACATCTGACCGTCAATCCGTTGTCTTGTCTGGTCGCTGTGAAGTTCAGCACAGATGACTGATTCACCGGTTTCTTACCGGCACCCACATTTTTAAAAGTGTCTTCATGGATCATTGCATCTCCTTTGTACCACTTGACAGTAAGGTTTTGAACAGGCGCTATATTGGGGACGTCACAGGTGAATTGACACGTCTCCCCTTCGACCATCACACCACCCGGGCCACTGATGCCGATGGTTTCTGGGAATGCTGAGGAGGGAAAGAGGAGGCTGTCAGACACGTGCGTGTCATTCGGATCCTCGGTAAAATAAGCAGGACTTACTGTAAACTACGACCGTTGAGGTCTTGCTGCACTGATCAGAAGAGGCCCCCGATGGTGGGTTGTAGAAGCATATGGATGTGACGTCATAATCAGTCTGGATGAGTCGCTCCACAGTCCAGGCCACATGGGGGACATTTTGTATAATTGTGCTTCCTACTGTGGCCTCCCAGCCCATTTCTGCGGAATGGCCATCCGATGTGCTGCAGTTGATGGAAACCGGGTCTCCATATCTCACCACGACACTGGGGGGGCTCAACTCAATGGGACAGGAGGCACCTGCAGCATGGACGACAAGCCGTGAGGAACATTTCATTGGGTTTCATTTGCCAATTAATAACAGCTTTTCATAAAATATCATGGGAACAATTGTGTGAGGATCGACAGTAGGATATTTTAAATACTAAAAGAACAAGACCACCGACTTTGTAGTTGTTGGCCTGTTTGAGATGTTGTTTCTCTGTAGTCATCATGCATCTCTCTGTGCTTGTTCTGGTCGTTTTGCCTGTCTCTGAAGTTGTTATAGCAACCATGTGTCTACCTGTAGTGAGTGTTTGCCACTTTGAGATTTTTTTGCATCTCTTTATAGTTTATTTTGGCACATTTGTAGTTTGTCTCTTCAAGGTTGTTTCTCTTTGTAGTTGCTTTATGTTTCTTAATAGTAGTGTTATGTCTCTTAATATAAAAGGGTAAATGTTTCTGCAGTGTCACGGGCAACTGGCCCTTTCATTTAGATAACAAAATAGAAACAGACCTCAAAGTGTTTTATTCGTCACTTTCATTTTCTAATAGAAAGCTTAAAAGTTTACTCCAAGTAAACAATACTCGGAAGTTCAGTTTCCCTGAAGCATTTTGACACATCACATTACATTTAGCAGACGCTTTTATCCAAAGCGACTTACATTACACTTTAAACCCATGGCTTTTTCACATTTTTGCCCAGGGAGCAATTAGGGGTTAGGTGTCTTGCTCAGGGACACTTTGACATGGAACATGGGGCAGCCTGGGCTCAAACCAACAACCTTGTGCTTCCCAGCACACCTTCTCTAACCCCTGCGCCACAACGACCCCACATCCAGTGCCGCACAGCAAACAAAACCAGTTTCACTTTTATATTGAGAGAGGACGTCCTTGTCCTGCTACGGTGCTTTCTCCAAACTCTCCCACCAGCTATTTATTTTCAATTCATTCTAACAACTTAAATAAAATAAACAAAAACAAACTAAAGTATGCCAGGTTAATACATTTTTACAACGACTAATGTCACATTTTTATTTAGATTTGCTGACGTAATGTCACAAGAATCACCCAAAATGTTGACAAATCAAAATAACAGTAAATCATTTCAACATTGAACACTGCCTGTGAATTGAGCAACACTGCTGCGTAACCTTTAAGTGACTGTTACACAACACTATTCCTCTGGGAAAATTAATTAAAAAGAGTCTGATTTAATCATAGAAACGGTTGTTTCCCCCCTGAGTTATGATAGAGAGGTTTTACAAAGTCTCAGATTAAACACATTGTGTTCTCATTGTTAGTTTGAGTCCAAGTAAGTGAGTCCAAAAGATGCCGCTCCGCTCAGCTGGTAACAAAGTTGTACTCTGTGGAATGCAACAGATTCACCCACAGCACTTTCCCCCACACAGCGCCCCCATATAGTCAGCATACATCGTGACCGCATTCTCTTTTCAGTGTCTGTAGAGTATCGAGACACACATGATGTACATGGCACGTACCTGTTGCACAGAGCAGGAACCCCACAAAGAGTCCAAAGGATTTGCTTTCACTCATTGGATTTGAACAAAGTCCCGTCTGTGCTTCGTTGCAGCTCTGCTCGGATTCCAGCTCTGGAGCTGCAGGCTCTCGGGTCCAAAGTGAGTCGACTGAGACAGGAATAGAGTCCACACACTCTGAGGGGTATAAAGTCCCCCCCCCCCCCCCCCTCTCTCTCTCTCTCTCTCCGTCCTCCCTCTCTGTCTCTGTGTGGGATGTTTTTCAGTTATTCATGAGTCCCGGTAGATCTGCTGCTGGGATGTTTTTAGTCTCACATTTTTATTTTTTATATTTGTCTATGTTAAAATGGCTGTAGGCTTCAAATGCACAAATTCTGGGAAGGGGCTTTGGGGCAAAGATCATTTCATTACAGAAATCATACTTACTAAAATACTTTTCTCAATCAGGCAAAACCAAGTGTTTTGTGATTCATCGTGCCCACGCTTCTTCTCCAGGTCACCAGAGATTCACACCCACACACACACACACACACACGTTTCGACAGAATGCAGAATCAATATAGAGTCTGAAAGTGTATATGTTCATGTGAGAAGTCTGTCAAAAAATGGGGCTCTGTAATAAAATAAACATGTTATCTTCTTTCCTGAAATGGCACCTTTCTCTGCGGAGTTTCCACTCAAGCAGTCACATCCTGTTTTCAGATGTTTCATTTTGTAGAGGCCTGGGATTTTCCCATATATGAGTTATATGGAGAAAAGGTTCCCCTTCTGTGCTGACAGATCGAGGAAGGCTAATGGTGACGAATCTCCATCAGTAGTTAACTAAAGGAGGCAGATTTTCGAAGGAAGGCCAAGATCACTTGTTATCACATCCTCCCTGAGGAGGCACACCGTGTTTGTAGCTGAAACAGTGAAAGCGAGAATGCCGAGAATAAACAGCTGGGCGCCTTTAATCCGGCTGAGGTCAGAGGTTGTTCGAGCAGTTCATCAGGTGTCAGCGAAAAGGGATGATAGAAAAATATATTCAACAGGGGGAGGCCACGAAGGAGGACAGGCAGCTTCACTTAAGGAAACAAGCATTGGGATTCCTGTCGTACTGGCAAATAACTCTATAACTAACTCTATTCACAAAACATGCACTCTAACTTCCAGAGGTCTGTGCGCATATTCCGATTCTGATAAATTGTCCCTTGATGCATGTCCAAATCAGCCTTAGTCTCTTGACATGGGGTTGTTGTTTTCCGGTCCAAACCCAAAGGAAAGGAAACCCCAGAAAACCAAACTGCTTTAGCACGCAGGGCGTTTGATGGCTATCAAGCTGATAAATAAAATCATCGTCTTGGTTTCCTGACCCTCGCCGGCCGCTGCGACAGCCTCTACAGCTCATTCTGACCAGCTCGGATATTAACACGAGCGAGTCACCCGGAAAGCTGAGCTCGAGTAGAGGATTTGTTCTCACGTGGTTTATTTTACATGGCAACGAAATGAAAGTGTCCATTTTCATCATTATAATAGCTCAATTATATGGAAGTTGTTTGAACAGAGGAAATAACAACACACCGCTCAATTAACTTTTTATATATATATATATCTTTATCTTTCAGATGGAAAAAACACAGAGGTAGTTACCATGGCGATTTACCGGGAGCCTGTAATCCTGCTGTGAATAGGTACATAAGAATTGGAAATCCCCAGCAAACAGGAACAAAGCCGGAAGTAATCAAATGAAAGATTAGAAATAGGAAAGAAGGATCACATGGAAAATCTTACTTCTTGGTAAACAGCGCTGGTTAATTGTCTTCGTGAAAGGGCATAAGAACAATGAGGAGTTACAAGTACAGCACTAATAAAATATAGCAAGAGCTAAATGCTAAATGACATGTAATGTACTGTAACCTAATGTATCAGTGGTGTATTGGCAGAATAAAATACACTACAAAGCAATAGGATCTGAGGCACCTCCTCAACTCCTTTTTAAAACCTTTCCTGTGACAAAGAGGGAATATCTGTGGGAATGTAAGAAGGGTTCCAGAGACCTTGTCGGGACGCTGATAACGTGACCGTGACCTTTTACCAGATGCTTTTTTTCTCACTTCTCTCTTAGAGTTAGAACACTGAGCTGCTGCTAAACGCTCAACCAGAGAATGACGCATTCACCACGCAACAATATGATTGTTGTCCTTTTACTGGCTGAAGCAACTCACTGTAATGTGATCGTGGAAAATGCCAACAGAGACCGCTCTGTCTCCAGAGATTCCTCCAGTTTCTGTTGGTATTTTCTTTATTTTTTTGCGAGAAAAACAATGCCGGCATCAGGAAAGAACGAACGTTCCTAAAATGCCTTTCTAGAAATGTCCCTTTTCTTTACATTGATTCATCATGCAGGATTAAATGACTCTAACAGCACAGGCTGGGATCATCTGGTCTTCATTGTTTACACTGACCCTCAGTGCACGAACTGGTAATACACTACATACCACAGCACTGACAAAGATTAATTCCCCTGCCAAGGATTGCTTTCTTCCCGTAATCATCAAACTGAGCGCGGGTCCTTTCTGGAATGCATGTGTGTTTTAGGAAAAAAAAAGAAAAGAAAAAGGGTTCTGTACAGGGTGCTGGACAAGATTCATAGAGATAAAGGTGCCAGATGCAAAACCAACAATGTGGCCATTATATAGAAATAAATAGAAAACTCGTAGCCATCATTATTCTATTTGATTTCGTAGGAGCCGTCTATGACTATAAGCCTATTCTAGATAACCTATAAACAGAATACATCATATATTTCATACACAGTTTGTGATGGATACTTGTAATGTAAGAACCAGATAACAAATAGGAAACATCTAAACTGATGACAAATAAAGGGGATCCATAAAAGACAGGAAGACGTGGATTCCAGTGTGAGAGGTGGCACCATGCCAGACTGAAAGAACGAGTCGCATGTCAGATGACCTCCCGGTCTGCTTCCCGGACGCCACGAAGAGTGATCCTCATCCTTCTTGGAGGTCTTGTCCTGTCCGCGGGCCTCTACTGAGTGCATTGTGTCAGTTTACGAGAAATCATCAGCTGATTTCCCCCTCGCTTCAACGTGCATCCTGTGGGTCGAGCGAGCAGTACTTGGATCCCTGCTTGTCAGGGTGAAGCTGGCATTCAGTTGCTGGCCTGAATCCTGCTCCTGTCGCGAGTTCCAACGTATCCCCTTTCCTTTGCACCCTTCTACCTTCGGCCGGCTCCTCGTTCCCATTGGGTTTTAAATGGAGCGGCTGTCTTCAGTTGGAGCTGAAGGAGTATTTGTCCTTGTGACTATTGGGAATCTCAACTGAGACTGAAAACCTCCTTTCACAGTAATTACATTGTTGTGTTAAGCAGTTTTGTAAAGGGAGGCTCACTCCTCTCCTGCTGAGTCACAGGAGACAGGGACAATCTGCACACACCCCCAAACCCCCTCCTCTCCTCAACTGTCCCGCCAAAAAGCAACCGGATTCATCCAGAAACTCCCAGCTGGTGGGGGAGGATGTGCCAAATGGGCCCCTGGTTGTAGCTGTGGAAGAAGAGAAGACACCTTTTAGAATGCTGAACGGCTTCCAGAGAAAACTATCAATTACTTCTTCTTTTTGCGTGCATCTAATAACAGTGTAACAAAGGTTATGTTTATTATCAACCAAAGATGCACATCAGAGCACTGGGCTCAAGGTTAAGAAGAAGGGACCCTGATAAGACTTTTAATATTGACACCCAGTCATTTGTCAATTGAGGACAGGAACAGAACATGTGTGTAAGATCTGCTGGTGAATTTTGACATCTATCAACATCGCAGCGACCCTTTACAGTAGAGTGCATTCCTGAGAGTTTAGAGTAGTGAAAGCGATGCAGTACTGCAGTAGTTGTAGCACATTTAACCGTGCACACGACGAGCTGTGTGGGCCTGGATGCTGTGAACGCTCTGGTAGGGGAAATCCGTATCATTAGTTTTTTTATCACTTCTCCCTTTTCCATGGTTTCCCAGAAGCATCAACATCGCAGCGACCCTTTACAGTAGAGTGCATTCCTGAGAGTTTAGAGTTTAGAGTAGTGAAAGCGATTGTTACATTTCCCTTTTTACGTGGAAACACAAATGCTGACAACCAATGTAGATAAAACTCAGGGAGCATGTAAGGCAGTTAAAAAAAAATAGATTTATTTGTAATACTTGAATCAAACAGTAAACTACAGAGGAAGGTTTTAAAAAGGGGGGGTGAACTGTGGGGGTTGTGCCAAACAAAAGTACTCTTGGGTCAGGGTCTCCTTGTCACGAGAGGAGCTCTTGGTGAGGACTCAGAGTTGAGGTTCAGCTGACGTTTTCATTGTCCAACACAAAAAAGTCCCTGGGAACAAAAAACTTCTCGGAAGAGAGATGAACGGGGAAATGCTCTGGCAAAACTAAGCGAGCTGAATGGTTAACAAAAGAAAAACCCAAATCTCTTTTACAGAGGAATTAACAAAACCATCAATCAAAAAAGGCTCTAAAGTAAATTGAGGAGCTGTGGAGCCACAAACGGCACGAGGCCAACTAAGGAGACGCAGAATATAAGTACGCATGAGGGAAGTGTGGGAACAGGTGGACACGATCAGGAATCAGGGAAGACAATCAGACTGATGACACATGAGGAAGGACAAGGAACCTGAAGCGAGAGGAGAATTCATTTCCAAAATATAAGTCACAAAACAAACATGGATACAGGACAAAAACCCAACTTGAAGATTACACGCAATAAACTGCAGATGTGTTTTTCCAGACCCTCCAATGTCATTTGGAGGAGATTGCTTTGAGGAGAAGTCCTCCAAAACCTGTTACATAATATCCCCCAAATGATCTGTTTGTGACGTAAAATGTGTCCACGGGAAGAAACGTGAGAGGGTTTTCTCTGATAGCTCTTTGTTGAGTCCAAAGCAAGGCAATTTTATTTGTATAGCACATTTCAACAACAAGGCAATTCAAAGTGCTTCACATAAGACCATCAAAAACATCCAAACATGAAGCAAGGAGACTTACCAACAATTAAAAATACATTGAAACATAAAATAAAAACAGTCATTAAAAGGATAAAAAAGACGTTAAAAGATTTTAAATAGAATAAAATTTGCAGTGTAATTTGAGAATGTCTTTAAGAATTGCGACTTGCAGAAACGGTCAATTGAAGGCAGCAGCAAACAGAAAAGTCTTTAAACTGGATTTAAAGGAGCTGAGCGACTCAGACCTGCAGCATTCTGGGACTCTGTTCCAGATATTTGGAGCAGAAAAACTGAACGCTGCTTCTCCATGTTTAGTTCTGACTCTGGGAACAGAAAGTAGACCGTTCCAGACGACCTACGGGTTCGTGGCGGTTCATAAGGTACCAGCAGATCAGAAATGTACTTTGGCCCTAAACGATTCAGTGCTTTATAAACTAGCAGAAGGATTTTTGAGTCAATTCTTTGTTTGACAGGAAGCCAGTTTAACGACCTGAGAACTGGAGTGATGTGTTCCACTTTCCTGGTCCTAGTGAGGACTCGAGTTGCAGCGTTCTGGATCAGCTATAGCTTTCTGATTGACTTTTTACAGAGACTGTCTCTGTGCAGTATTCGAGTCCACCGAAGTCTACTATCTAGACATAAGTCCTCTAATCCTTGATATATTCTTTAGGTGATAGTATGCTGATTTTGTAACTTGTCTTATTATGACTGTTTAGGTTGAGGTCCGAATCTATAATTACACCTAGATTTCTAGCTTGGTTTGTGGTTTTTAACGTCAGTGATGGAAGCTCAGCGCTTACTTTCAATCGTTCATCCTTGTTACCAAAAACAATTACTTCTGTTTTATCTTCGTTTAATTGAAGAAAGTTTTGACACATCAAGTTGTTGATTTGTTCAATGCATTTAACCAGCCCCTGTATTGGATTGTAGTCCCCCCAGGGATTTAGTTATATAGATTTGTGTGTCATCTGCATAACTATGATAATGCACTTTGCTGTTTTCCATAATCTGAGCCAATGGAAGCATGTAGATATTGAACAGAAGGGGCCCCAGTATTGAACCTTGGGTGACACCACGTGTTTTCAGTTTCAGTACTGTGGTGGTGGCGAAAGCCTGACTGGTAGGCATTGAAACCGCTATTTGCGGCCAAGAAGTAGTTTAGCTGTTGAAAAAACTCTTTTTCAATTATTTTACCTAAAAAAGGAAGGTTTGATATTGGCCTAGAATTTTTCATTGTCGTGGTGTCTAGATTAGCCTTCTTTAGGAGTGGTTTAATAACAGTTTTAAGTGCTTTTTGGAAGACACCTGAGAGGAGGGATGTGTTTACAATTTGTAGGAGATCTGTGGCCATGAAGTTTGAGACATTTTTGAAAAGGTGTGTTGGAAGAATATCTAAGGAGCAGGAGGATGACTTCACATGTTGTATATTGTCATCTAGGCCTGTACGGTTGATTGAATGAAATTGTGTCATGGTGTTCAAAAACAAAACATAGCTTTTGAGTTGAAATGCTTTTTACTTTTTACATTTCTGGACCCGGTGACTGTGAGTCTCCACTAGATGGCAGCAGTGTGTCAAATCTAATGTGAAAATTGCAGCGCTCCTTGAAAAGCATTCATATGGATCTGATATCTTTCCCTGAGCAGAGATTTGTGGGGGAGACAAGGCCTCTTAGCTAAAGGTGGAGGAAGGGGCTGCTGCAAACACATATGTGGATTTGGGAAACCTCAGCAGTGGAACCACAGCGACCACTTACACATACACAAAGCTGCTGGGGAAACCTAATTAACTTGGTCAAATCCAACAAAGTTGAAAAGTAGGACTCCCGTGAGTCAGATTTAATTAGAAAGAATCATTTTTTGTGCTGTGGAGGAAGAGGTTGAAGAGACCGTGACTCACATTTTATGACATTTTGGTGTGAAGGAGTATAAACTCCTGTCATCCGTGTCATCCATCAGGACAGTAGAGCGTGAGTACATGTTTGCAGCAGGATCGATTCAGGAGCTATTGAATGTATCCTGGAGCTGTAGCAGCAGATTTTATATACATGTACAGTGTATACAGTGTATATATTAGTCATATGACCCAGCAGTCAAAGTTGTAAACAGACGTGCAAATAGTTTTTTGGCCTTGAAAACACGACTGGTGCGTGTCTAAACAACAAGGTTTTATGGCAGAAAAAGAAGAAAAACAGGGGATTTTTTTTAAATCTCAGACGTGTTTTGCTCGGGAAAAAGTAGAGTGATAAAGTGATGCAAATTAAAAAGGCCTGCATGCCATGTGGGGCTAACTGTCACCACGGCGGATCACAATCAGTCCTCTCTGCAGCAGACGTGCAGTCAACGTGGAGGCTCTATGCGTTTTAAGAGGCTTTTTATCCCCTTCGTTTGACTCGGGGCCAATATTCATACTTTGGTGAAACAGAACATTCAGAAAGTTATTTTTATGTCTGCTTTTTAAATATAATGAATATAAATAGTACTGAACAGTCAAACACAATAAACGTATTTTTTAGACCTATTTATTGTAATCAACAGGGCAACAGGCCTTCAAATCAAGCAATAGTACAAAAGTCCTTTTTAATACTTAACTTAATACAAAATAACTGTTTCAGGCACTTGCCTGAAGACAACCGACTCGACAGTTGACAGGATGCATCTCATCTTCAACATAGCGAGCAATCAATAAATTCGGCTCTGCCCGGTTCATCTGCTGCACTTCAGTCCGTGTAAAGTGGAGCCGTGGTTGTTTGCGTGAAGCGGCGCCTGCAGCATCCGCGGGCCGGCGCTCTTTCGTCATGAACGACGCGACGCTGTTTACATAAACGCACGGCGACTATTCTGTGACACACAACGTTTGGTGGCCACAACTATTTAGTGCTGACAGGCAGCTATTTACTTACTATTTGCCGGCCCTCCGCTTCGCGTCACACAAGAGAGTAACGCGAGTAACGAACTCATTTCAATTTCAGTAATTGTAAATGCGTTAATTTATTTAAAAAAATACATTGTTACATGCTCGTTACCGCTAAGAGTAGTGGAATTACTCCCAACACTGGTGTTTACATGGTGGTATAATTCGAATCTTTGCTTGGTAGGACTATGCTATCTTTCGGGGCAAGTGCTATTATCCCAATATACATGGCAGTGAATAAATCGAATCATTGGCCGAAAGCATGTCATATCCGATACGATAGGTGGCGCTGTTTTCATTACAACTAGTTGTGATACAGCCATTTCCGCTTGACCGCTTCACCACTTCCAACAACAACCAACACCAACAACATCAACATTAGGAGAAAGATGGCGAGCGGAGAGCAAGGTGAAGCTACATCCCTCTACTATCTTTGCATGATGGTAATAGGAGCACAGCGAATGGGAATGGCGCTATTGGCCGATTTGATAACGGAGAGAAGACGCCGTCGGGATCTCAAGCATGCGCAAAGACGCAAAGTCCAGTTCCTCATCCGATTCACCGTTACATGCCGCAATAGTCGAACTATCAACTGGATCGGATGGAGTTATCCAGGGGTGTTAGTCGGATCGTAGTCGGACCGCACATAGTCAGACAAAGGTGTTTACATGAAACGGATAATTTGATTTCAGTCCGACTAAGCCAGTTATTCGAAACCATGCTGGCTGATAAACTCTGATCCCTCCCAGTGAGAACATTCGGACTTTGACTCTGTCACAACAGAGGCAGGACACAGACTTGGAATCAAAAGGTACTTTAATAAAGACACACAGGGCTTAAATACAGTGGGAGGGGGCAGGTGATCGGACACAGGTGGAAACAACCATGGACACGGCAGACAATCACAGGGGATGACAGGACAAGGCAGGAAGTGAAGCTAACCCAGGGACACAAGATGCAGGAAACTACAAAATAAAACCAACCCAAACCGTGACAGTGTCAGGGCTGAGCTGCTCACCATGGGGCCTCCAGTCCTACAGCACGGGTTTAGGAAGGTTTTTTCTCGTTTGCTGCTGCTCTAATTATGCTGTAATGGAAATGTAACTTGCTGTCACATGAAACTGGGTCAAAACATGAGAAATACGGCCCATCCGATGAATTGGTCTTATTTGCATGTTGTTGCAACTTTTCAAATTTAAATGAATCCTTTTCACCCTCTGTAATTAATTTTTCAGGGCGCACTGATCAGATGAGGCCCCCGATGGTGGGGCGTAGAAGCATATGGATATGACGTCCCAATCAGTGAGTCGCTCCACAGTCCAGGCCACAAAGTTGACATTTTGTATAATTGTGCTTCCTACTGTGGCCTCCCAGCCCATTTCTGCGGAATGGCCATCCGATGTGCTGCACTAACTGTTAACACACTACATACCACAGCACTGAGAAAGATTAATTCCCCTGCCAAGGATTGCTTTCTTCCCGTAATCATCAAACTGAGCGCGGGTCCTTTCCGGAATGCATGTGTGTTTTAGGAAAAAGGGTTCTGTACACATGTTCAAATGGAATGTTTCATGCAAACTCGCTGGACAAGATTCACAGATAAATAATCAGCTGATTTCCCCCTCGCTTCAACGTGCATCCTGTGGGTCGAGCGAGCATTACCTGGACCTCTGCTTGTCAACGTGAGGTATCCCCTTTTCTTTGCACCCTTCTACCTTCGGCCGGCTCCTCGTTCCCATTGGGTTTTAAGTGGAGCGGCTGTCTTCGGTTGGAGCTGAAGGAGTATTTGTCCTCGTGACTATTGGGAATCTCAACTGAGACTGAAAACCTCCTTTCACAGTAATTACATTGTTGTGTTAAGCAGTTTTGTAAAGGGAGGCTCATTCCTCTCCTGCTGAGTCACAGGAGACAGGGACAATCTGCACACACCCCCAAACCCCCTCCTCTCCTCAACTGTCCCGCCAAAAAGCAACTGGATTCATCCAGAAACTCCCAGCTGGTGGGGGAGGATGTGCCAAACGGGCCCCTGGTTGTAGCTGTGGAAGAAGAGAAGACACCTTTTAGAATGCTGAACGGCTTCCAGAGAAAACTATCAATTACTTCTTTTTTTTTTGCGTGCATCTAATAATAGTGTAACAAAGGTTATGTTTATTATCAAAAGCAGAGTGTGGCTATACGTTGCACTTTTACACACACTTTAGTTCCTACCCGTAAATGCCAAAAATCACATTGGTCTTCATTCTCCTTAACACCAAAGATGCACATCGAAGCACTGGGCTCAAGGTTAAGAAGAAGGGACCCTGATAAGACTTTTAATATTGACACCCAGTCATTTGTCAATTGAGGACAGGAACAGAACATGTGTGTAAGATCTGCTGGTGAATTTTGACATCTATCAACATCGCAGCGACCCTTTACAGTAGAGTGCATTCCTGAGAGTTTAGAGTAGTGAAAGCGATGCAGTACTGCAGTAGTTGTAGCACATTTAACCGTGCACACGAGGAGCTGTGTGGGCCTGGATGCTATGAATTGCTTTGTAGGGGAAATCCGTATCATTAGTTTTTTTATCACTTCTCCCTTTTCCGTTGTTTCCCAGAAGCCCCCCAAAAAAATAGCCCTTGATGACAAGCACTTTTGCTACGCGGATGTTTGGAGAATGGAATGTCAGGCCCCCTCGCCCTGACCGGCACCCTCACATTGTCCCTCAAAGACGTGTGTTTTTACAAACCAGGAGGAGACTCAAGAACAACAATGGAAGACGCACAAAACAACAACAAAAGGAGCATGAACAACTCTTAGGTCAGGGTCTCCCTGCTAGCCGCTACAGGTCCCCTGGTTGAGGGAGGGTCCGACTACTCCATCTGGGCCTGATGGTCCCAGGAGAGGATCACTGTTCTGCAGCATCGGGCCTGACATCATTGCTATGAGGGAAGGTTCAGGGGAACCGAAAGAGCCAAACTTCCAAACAGCTCTTTGTTTTTATTCAACAATATCACAAAATCAAAAGAGAAAAATAAAACCCTATTCTCAATAAGTGACGTTTTTTTAAATCAGTCGAGGTTCAGAAGATTCCGGTATTCAGGGGCGTTGTGCTGCTGTGTAAAGATTCTGAACGGTGATGTCATGCATTTTGGGAGCAATAAACTGCAGATGTGAGATTGCTTTGAGGAGAAACAATGATATAAACCACATCTTTGTTGAGTCGGGGGGGGGGGGGGGGTAAGGGGGGGTGGTCTTCATTTCAAGGACGAGTCAATGCATGCAAAACAAAACATAGCTTTTAAGTTGCAATGCTTTTTACTTTTTACATTTCTGGACCCGATGACTGTGAGTCTCCACTAGATGGCAGCAGTGTGTCAAATCTAACGTGAAAATTGCAGCGCTCCTTGAAAAGCATTCATATGGATCTGATATCCTTTTCCCTGAGCAGAGATTTGTGGGGGAGACAAGGCCTCTTAGCTAAAGGTGGAGGAAGGGGCTGCTGCAAACACATATCATGTGGATTTGGGAAACCTCAGCAGTGGAACCACAGCGACCACTTTCACATACACAAAGCTGCTGGGGAAACCTAATTAATGTGGTCAAATTCAAGTAAGTTGACAAGTAGGACTCCCGTGAGTCAGATTTAATTAGAAAGAATCATTTTTTTGTGCCGGGTAGAAGAAGCCTGCGCGCTTCATTCATCTTAACCCTAAAGAGAAGGCCCATTTATCCAAAACTGCAGCGAGTCAACCTTTAACCACACATTGGGCAGGAAATGAGTTGCAAAGGTTCCTTTCATGATCACTTCTCTCATGATCGCTCTTTGACGGAGGTCACAGGTTACAATTTGTCAAACTTCGCTTTAAGCTGCTGTATCTGGAACAGACTCTGTGATCACGTTGACCCACTTAAAGTGTCGACAAAGTGCTGTAACATTACTTCCTATTCCACTATGAAGTGAGTCAAACACATCACCTTACAGCATACAGCAGAAAGTGAATTTTAGAAATGTTGTCCACATTGGGTTTACTTAATTGTGGAATGAGCCATGCAACAACTTTAAGGATTATGACCAGCAAATATGAGTGATCATGACCGTCATTATGAAGTGTGTGTTTTGATCCTTCTTATAGTTCATTATGAATGTATAACTATACTTCTACATTGATATAAGCAGATTACAACATTGCAGTATGTTTTTAATGCGAGATATATAAAAGCCTCATATTTTTCATCCTTCACACCGCTTATTTCTTGACACGTGCTGGACGTCCTGTCAAACTGAGATTTTTGGTTTTATTGTGGGGGGTTGAACCACAAACTGACAATTTCTCAGACCTTTGAAATGGTAAAGCGTTAATCCTCTGTTTGTGAGAACTTTAAACACAGAGATCCGCTGCCTTTCTGCGGTATAAATTTAACTTGTTTGTTTTGGGCCGTCTCCAACATGCGCTGCAGATGGACCCGTTCTCACAGAGCTCCTCAGCCGGGGGCTTTTTTTTCTCCCAGCCGCCCCGGCCCGCTCTCCCTTCTTTGGCTGCAGCTCTCGTCCCGGGTTCCAAACGTCCCGAGTTTCATTTCACCATCCAAGGCCGACGTGCACGGTGGGAGGAGCTCCATCGCTCCACAGAGGACACTAGCGTCAGACGTCCCGCGGCGTTAGGGAGTCCATACTGATGGTAGAAGCCGCTCCCCGATTAACGGACCCAGTCTGGAACATAAATCTCAGACTGTGACACCCGATCAATTGGTGAGGGTCACGAGGAGGGAAGATGGTAACACTAGCTGGCTATTGGGAGCAGCCATTGATTTCCTCCCGCTACGGTAGAAGCAAAAAAGACAAGATGGAGACACACTGAAAGGATTGTAATAAGTCGATGAGGAGCAGCTGACACATGACACCCCCGAGGCCCAACCCCTGGACCAAGACAAATGAAACCTAATAGCGTTCACCACCGCTGCCCATCTGGATGGCGAACAGCTGCAGAGCGCTTTGTCATCCTGCTTCTTGTCTCAACCCTTATCAGGGTGTCTTTCTAAACCACACCCATGTTCCACATGCGGCTTTTCCCCCGAAACCCCGCTGATCGGCGGCAAAGGGGGAGACAGATAAGCGATTACCCCGTGAAAGGGAAAGGAAGAAGGTCCTTTTGTCGGTGCTTTGGAGGTCCTGGGCTCCCTCCCCCGATCCCCCCCCTCTAAACCCCCCCCACCCCCACCCACCCTCCTTTCAGAGGCCTCCCGGGCGCCGTTAACACCAGGAGAGCGAGGCGCTGACTTCCAAGGTTTGGTGGAGCTGGAGAAAACAGCATGTCAACATCTGGGAGGCATTAGAAAGCCTGAAGGGTGAGGAAAAGGGAGACGATGACGGGGGAGTGTGTGTGTGTGTGTGTGTCCACCAAGCTGTGTGTGTTTTGCAGAGATTGACTTAATTGCATTGCTTTTGTGAGAGTTTGAGCTTGAAAACCGTGACCTCTTGAGTAATGCTTACTAGTTGAACGAGGGTTGCATCGGGAAGTCCCAGCAGAGATGAAGGCAGATAGTGAAACGCCTGCGGGTGTAGTGGTCGGGTGGTGTATGGGGGCTTGTGTGGCTCTTTGTTCGTGAAACTTGTTTGAAGACTGGGTCTTTCACTCGGCGGGCAGGATGCAGAGCTCTGGACCCTTGGCAACAGAGCGGCTCCATCTGAGCCCCGGCCCTTAAAACAAGATGGCTTTGTGCGTGCGATCGCCATCCTGCTCCTCCCTTCCTTCCCCTGAACCCCTCACCTATAGGGCCGCTGCCTCGGGGACGCCGCGCGCCAGGTGCTCCCCCTCGTCAAGCCTCACCGCAAACAGCAACCCTGACCTTCGCTGGGGCCGAGGGGCAAGCCGTGACATCACCCGGGAGCCGGCGAGCTGGGCGGCCAGCTGACAGGGAGCAGCCTTAAGCTCCTCCCCTTTTGAGCAGTGCTTTGTCGTGACAGGCCGGCTGTTCCGAACGCTCAATAGGCAATCATCCGGTTTATTGACGGTACCATTTTGGTCGGTCATAAACGAGGCCAGCCTCGAGGCGAGGCCTCAAAATGTCCTCACTGCCGCTCACATCTTCAGCTCCACGGCGGGGAAAACCCCAACGTGAAGTCCTGCACGTCTTTTTTTCCGTTACGTGGCTTTATTTCGACCCCGATCACACCTGCAAGAAATTTGTCTCCACCTCTGGTTAGTTGGGAAATATTTCTCCCTGCATGTTGTCCCGAACTGAGAAAAGGTACGATTTCAGTCTGTAACGAGGCCCCTGATCCCAAACAGACCCCCGCAGATTAATACATGAAGCCAAATTTCCACTCTTTGCATCGCCTCAAATGTGATTAATGAAAAACAGAGAGCTTTGCCAAACGGGAACATTCTCAGATTTTCCTGGCTCTTCTACACCCCCACCTTTTTTGTCCATTTTCTGTTGTTGTTTTAAAGGAAAGTCCTCTCCATGACATGAACACATGCTCTGCAAATGGCCCCGGGGCTCACAAGAGGCCGTCATGGACGTCCTTTCTCCTCCTCCTCCTCCTCCTCCTTCCACCCCCCACGTCAACCTGCCATCCACCCCTCCATCCCGGCTCCATGTCCCACAACTCCCTGTTCCTGAGCCGGCATATCACGGACACTCCCGCCGAGACCAGTGACCTCATCAGCGGGCAGGAAGTCAGAGGGTTCAAGTTCCTCCGGAGAGAGTAATCCCACACATCTCTGCTTATTTCATTCAGCGGAGGGGGGGGGGGGTGGTGTGGGGGGGGGAGCCAGTCCGGGGTGTGGAGTTCGAGTCCTGCCGGTTTCTCACTATCAGAAGGGGTCACGTCATCATTGTGATCACGTGACCCTCGGCTTTTGCTGGCCTGAGCTCGTTCTGGAAGCGATCTCGGTGGGAAAAGCATAGCGGGGGCCAGGTGTCTGCAGCTGCAACGTGGCACTGGAAACAATGTGGAGGAAGAGGTCGGACCAGGGGAGAAAAGAAAGGAGCTCAGAGGAAGAAGGAGCCTTTGTGTGGGGAAAAAATGAACATTATGGCAATAAGGGGGTTTTGTCCCCCCCCCCCCCCCCTCCTCCATCCCCATCCGTCAGGGACTAATCATTAATTTAAAACATCAGGGACACACAAACTGATTGGTGGCCTTTGCCCTGAAGTGGGTCAGTGTCCTTGACAGTCGCCATCACTGATTCGATTCCGTGCTGGACACGGCCACCTGGTCTGTTGCAAGATTTCTGTTGATCGAGACCGTGAGTCACATTTTATGACTTATTTGATTATTTTATGTCACGTTTTATGACTTACGTGTGAAGGAGAATAATCTCAAAGTTCTTGGTATCTCGCTGGCGGTTTGAGGGTGTTTGTGCTTCACGCCATTGACCCGCGTCATCCATCAGGACAGTAGAGCGTGAGTACATGTTTGCAGCAGGATCGATTCAGGAGCTATTGAATGTATCCTGGAGCTGTAGCAGACAATGCAACGCTCCCAAAAGCAACAGCAGATTTTATATATATGTACAGTGTATACAGTGTATATATTAGTCACATGACCCAGCAGTCAAAGTTGTAAACACGCTTCTTTCACATCTCAAACGCGCCCCGCACTCCCACGCTCCTGCAGCGAGCCAGCAGCGAGTGAGTTGCAACACGTTTGTTGCCGACAGGTCTCAGTTTGAGCTGACTCTGCAGATAAACACTTCACTTCCAGAGGGTTGCATCTGGGTTCGGGCCGCTCCCGGCATGCACACAAAGACACGCGAAAAAGCTCACGGCTGAGAGAGATACAGGGAAGAGGAACAGACAAGACCAGTCAGATAACTCATATAGCGTGTCTGTGAGTGTGCGTGGGGGGGGGGTTAATGTAAAATGATCACATATGCCCGTCAACGCGAACATTGACGGGTTTGTGCACAGATGTGTGGGAGGGAGGCAGGGCTGAACAATCACACTCAGTGTTTGTGAGTGGTTTCAGACATACCGCATTCTCCTCGATAAGTCGGCCGCACTTCCACCCACTCGGCTTCAGTGAGTCCGTCTAAGACTGCGAGAGGCGCGAATAGTTGGGCCTTTTTTTGGCCTTGAAAACACGACTGGTGCGTGTCTAAACAGCAAGGTTTTATGGCAGAAAAAGCAACAGGATTTTTTTTTTTTTATCTCAGACGTGTTTTGCT